TCTTTATATTTTATGGCTTCCAAAGCTTTACCACTTAATCTAGTTGTTATGTATTTTATTACAATTGGTATATTTTTATCCTCTACAGACTCTAACGCTAGTTCACATGCCTGTATAAATTGATATACGTCATCCTCTCCTGTACATTTTGGTATTAATTTTACTGCTTCCTCTAACCTAATTATTACACTTGTGTTACTCATTTTTTCTTTCGGTTTTCTCTCAAATTTTAATTCTTTATGCTCAATGTCTAACTGACTTCTTGTTCCTATACGTATTAATTCTTTTTCACTTTTTTCTTTTTCTGGGATAATTTTTTCTTTTTCTGGGATACCTTCTATAAACGTTTTATTCTATTCTTCGTCACTATACTTTTCTTCAATTTTATTCACTGGAGTAGCTAATTCCAATGGAGATGAGCCTAATGTGTCACGGTTACTCATAAATAATTCTCAATAATAAATCTCAATAATATACTTTAATAATAATTTTCAATAATAACTTCAATAATATTCTCAATAATAACTCAATAATAATCCCAATAATAATTCAATAATAATCTCAACAAAAATTCTCAATATATATCCACAATAATAATTCTCAATAATTCACAATAATACTCAATAATAAATCCCAATAATTTTTCAATAGTACTCTCAATAATAATTCAATAATAAATCTCAAATATAAACTTCAATAATAAATCTCAATAAATCCCAATAATAATTCAATAAATCGCAAATATAAACTTCAATAATAATCCCAATAAAATACTTCAATAATAATATTCATAATAATTCTTACAACAAGGCGGAGTTGGACGATCCAAAAGACATCGTTGACTGTTTCGCTTGAAATGTTGCACAATGGAGTGTATGTTCTTTCTTCGGAGTTGGAGAAAAAGTGATCAGTTTCTTCTCTCGGTGATTCGAAATGAATTGAACTGCCTCCGTGGAAAAATATTATATATTTTTATGAAAAAAATAATATAAATATTTTTCTTTTTGAAGAACCCTGTCCACAGCGCCAATTGTTACGTGCCACCGGCTCGATTTCAAGTGTTGCGAGTCGAAGATGTGTTTAATTTAAATAGACATGAGACTTTTAATACATTAATACATTTATTTTAATACTCAAAGTGTTTAACAAAATTCTAATACAAAGTGACGTGGAGTAGCTTGTTGTTCCGTGACTAGAACTCATCTGAATTGTGGTCATTTTGATCCCTCTTTTATATGGATTGATTGACGTCATTGGTCTTGTTGTTTCGGCATAACTCCTTATTTAGCAATAGGCCACGTTCGTTTGACCTACTTATCATTTTATAGATTACATCTTTTAATATATATTACTGGTCTTATTAAATGTAGGTGTTTCTAGGAATATATATTAATCTTTTAAAATATATATTGTTATTATTGGTTTATGGCCAACCTATTAAATGTAGGTGTTTCTCAGAATATATTAATATATTTTAAATTAATAGATAGTCTATGATCAAATATGGGTGTATAACACCTGTGATATTGTGTTACGCACAATTCTATTTATACATGTTTTTGTGGTAGCCCATAACATTATCAATCGTTATCAAAATCGGGAAGACTGTACCCGTCCCGCTGCAATTGATGAGAAAACCTTCGCACAACCGTAATAACGGTACACTCGAACGAGTGTACCGTTGGCTCCCCCCTTCTCGTCATAACCATCGCCGCCGTTGTCGTATTAAGTTTTGGCCATCGCCCGTTGCCCTCCGCAGCACTACGCGGTGGCGGCGGCGGCAACCGGTAAAAACAACGGTTGTTGTTACGCGATCGCTTTGCCGTTCCGCGCGTCTCGCTACAATATCGACGGACGGCGATGGGTCACGGACATAATTTTCCGTAATAATAGCTTATATCCACCATGGCATTATGTTATACGTCCCGTGCCCGATGCCGACGAGTGGCCGTGCGACGAATCGGGTACGGTGCGAGGAATAATAATAGGTATACATAATACGCAGTACGCACTGCGTTGCGGTACGCCTCTATAGGCGTGCATAACCCACGTACGCCACGCACACGTTTGTCGCTTCTTTGCACGGATGGTCGACGGTTCGCACGCGCGTCCACCTTCCCCTCCGAGTACCTGGTTGGAGGGTCGTGCACTTGCATAATACATCACACGCACGTAAGGGTTAACTGGGGTCAAAAGTGAGCAGCCCCTAGTATTTTTTTTACAGTTTTGTACCGTAAGTTCCGTAATTCAAATTTTTAACGCGAAAGAAATATAAATTTTACGATAATTATACGGTGATGATCTAAGAATAACACTCCACGTTCAATGGTCCACGATATATTTATTTACACGTGTACACACGCATATTTGCATAAGTACTCCATAGCGTTCTGAGAATAACGCCCGACCGTTGACAATAACGTATAGTAAACATTTGTTTTAAGGCAAAATAAACAAAACGCAGCAGTTATAAAAAATTGTTAAAATGGGATTTTCGAACTATTTGGCTTAAAACGATTTCTGTCCTTCCCTCCCTCTCGCACCTTCGGGATTTTCTGGATGTTATGCAAATGGACACGTGCACAACATATATATTTGAATACGACGTGTTCGTGTTTTCGTCGAATTTCACTGCTCAGAGAAATGTACCGCGGTTTAGATATTATACGTATATATGTGTGTTTTTGTACGTTCATGAGTGTCTTGTAGAACATAGCTTAGGTAAACACATACAAGTGTTTTATAATAATAATCGAAATATTATGAAATATGCGATTGGGTGGAAAATGATCGAGACAAATAATTGCGAGTACCCGAAATGTATGCGCGCATTTGCTCCACACGATAAATATTATAATATGCAATATATTATACTGTACACAAGCGTATGTTATTATTATTCTATTAGAAATCGTAGTCGGCGTCATCCCTACCATACATATATATATAAACAAATCGCATTATTATTATTATGTCGCGTCCCGCGTAGTCACACGGTAAAACACATCACAAGGAGGTTCCCATGTACATCAAAAACTACAACTATGGATAAGTTAGATTATTGTGTTCACGTGGATATTACACTAGAGATTACAATAAGGAATTAGAATATCGAAATCACAAGCGTGGACAAGTGAAAGGGTT